ATTATCGTGTGTTTCTTTCCTCTCTTTTTTCTTGCGCAGAAATAGTTGAACTTGGCATTAGCCCGGCATACTAAACCTGCAAGTTGCTACTAAAACGAAGAAGTCTAGGACAAATCAAAGGGCACGATCATATGCACAAGGAAGTTACTTTTTCTTTTGCAAAAGGACTTTATCACCCCCCCCCCAAAAAAAAAACTTTAAATATCATTTAAAGTTGGTAGGTTAAATTGAAGTGCAAGCTGGAAAAATAATAATATATATTTGGTCCTAAGCAAGAACTTAAATTGCTTCGTCTTTGTCTAAGGTATCATGCGGACTTCGACATCCTTTAGACGTAAAACACAAAGAAGGTATTTCCCCCTCCTGGGGAAAACAAAGATACATGAAGGAGCAAGACGTGCAAATACTGGCAAATAAAGAACAAAGTTTGGCTACCCGTCACATCAGTAGACAGGCGCAGACGACATACATACATATGAAAAAACTCTTAAGCATGATGAAAGAACAAATTTCATATGTATTATAGGTTGAAACATGTTCTCCAACTCAAAAAATTTAAGGGTTTACAAGCTATCATGTCGATCGATCAGAGAGCACAAAATGTCAATTCTCTTCTCAAGGACAAGTTTGATTAGCCTTCTCAATTTCATGGGCTATACATATGCAGATATCTGCGGGTTATAAGTGAATCCAACCTTCATTAGCTAAAGGAAAACTCTATCCTCAGTCACGGGCGAGGAATGTTTACGAATTGTAATATCTTTGCCTTCACTCCCACTTTCATGGACAACGATCTCTCTCTCTCTCTCTCTCTCTCTCTCTCTCTCTCTCTCTCTCTCTCTCTCTCTCATGACGCTTTACGATACTAATCATAATTAATTTTTCTTCACCAGCAATAGCGGGCAGGACATCACCCATGCTTAAATTAATCGCATTCTCCAGGTCGATAGCGTACTTTAAATCAATTGATCGAAAGATTGGACACCCTCAACATTATTCTAGGGCAGTACCTATGAGAGAGGATCTAATTGTAATCTAGTGCAAAGAATCGATTATGATCTGCCGCATATTAAATAATTCACACGCCCGTGCATGTCCATGGCGATCAAGTGCCGCAATTAGTTTCATTATCGGTCAAGTTGATTGTATTGCTACTATTAAATCTAGGGTTGGCAAAGTTTTTGGTCTAATTCAAGTTGTCTTCTTTGTATATGTACTCTATGTCAATGCACTTAACCTCGACCCTGATTAACATTAAATAATCACAACATTGCCGAAGACTCTCTTTCCTTTTGATCTCTCCAGCGATATGGGCTCGAAATTATGTATGCCATTAATCACGATGAAGGAACGATAGAGTATGAAATTCACTTTGTGATGTAATTTGTTTAATGATGTGCTTTGATTCCCTTCAAGTTAGTGCCTAGTGAAGTACCATTTGATTAAGCCAAGTGGTGCAAATTGCATTGGCTTTTTAACTGTGGGAAGTACAAGAAGAAGTTAAAATAACCATGTAAGAGAAAGTACAATGAACAGTTCAAAGCAAAAGCCAAAAGGGTGTTCGATCCAAGGATTTCATTGGCACAAATGACCACAACTATTTCTTAATATATTAAAGAATATCAACATGTTATAGATAAATTTTTATTGGAAAGGGTCACTTTCTCTGTATAAAATACGAGAAAATTATCCAAAAAGATCTAAACTTACTATATACAGCGATAAATTCAATCTTAAAAATGTCAATTTAATCTTAAACCTTTTAACAAATTGCCAAAGTAATCATTTCGATCAATTTTGAATACCGACTGTCTTACATGGCATGGTTGATATTGACATAGACAATTTTTCAAATTTTTTTAAAAATTTCGGAATTTTTTTCATTTTCTTTCGTTTTTCTTTTTTGTTTTTTTCTCCTTTTCTTTTCTTGTCTTTTTCTTTTTCTTTTTCCTATTTCCTATTTCCCTCCGTCGGCTCTTGGGCCTTGACAATGGTCGATGGAGGTCGCCAGCCATAGGTGAGGGTGGTCGAGACACCAAATCTGGCAAGGGCTTGACCCTTGCGCCCCTTGTGGCCTCTAGTAAGGGCTCACTCAAGCCTTCCTAAGCGAGGGTCACCCTTGCTAGATGTCGCAAGGGCTCAACCCTTACACTTGGTGTCGCCTAGGCAAGGGTGACCCTCGCTTAGGCAGCCCTACATGAGGGCAACCAAAGGACGCAAGGGATGCCCTCGTCCAGGTGGCCCTCGCCCGTGGTTGGCGACAAGCAGAGTGAAACAGGAAAAAAGAAAAAAATTGCAAAAATTGTCAACGTCAGAGTTTGTCATGCCACATAGGACGCCCATGATCCACGTCAACGATTTCCGATCAAAATTGACCAAAATGACTATATCGGTAAATCGTGAAAGGTTCAGAATTAAATTGGCACGATTAAAAGGTTTATAATTGAATTAGCCACCGTACAATAGATTTAGGACTTTTTGGACAATCATCCCAGATAAGTATAGTATGCCACTCAACCAAACCAAGTATTGACAAGAAGAACTGATACATTGGGCTTGCGCTTGTGGTGTGTTCCATTGACCTCCAACTAGTCGGTTTTCTAAGCTCATGCCTCTAGACTATTAAAAAAGAAATAAAGAAAGATTAAAACGAGATGTATGTGCAATATTTCTTTATTTGTATTGATGCAAAACTAGAATGTGGACGACATCATACATAAGCATTTGCTAGAATGTCATTTGCAACTATATATGTGTGCAAATATCTTTGTCTCCACCGAAGATGAATAATACAAAATTCCTAATAAATCGTCAGCGTTTTACGTTTCTTTTCGTTGTAGCTGCAACATCAATAATTTAATCTTCTTTCAACCCGCCAAACGAGCAAAGTAGAGACCATAATTACCTCCGTTTATTTCCAAAAAATAAATTATTTAAAATATATTTTTATAATAATCACTTATATCTCTTACAAAAATAAATGAATGAAAAATATTTTCATTCTCCACGAAAATATATAGACATAAATTATCATCGATAATGAAAATATTTTTTATTGACTAATTATTTCAAACGATCATTTCTACAAAAATATTTTTCAAATTATATATCTTTCATGTAACAAACGGAGTCTTGGCAATTAAATAGTGTTTCCTTAGCGTCGGCTTCAATAAGTTTCCATTGGATGATGATGACTGAAACTAGTGGTGGTTTCCATTTTCTTTAGCCGGAGAAAATAGTTGTACTCTAATCTGTTTTGATAAAGTTGAGACTCCGTTTATTACGTAGAAATTCAACCCTTTTAAGAAAAATATTGTTAGGAAAACATGTTAACCAAAAACTACTTTCATTATCAGTAAAAATAATTAGACACAAATTATTATTAATAATCAAAGTACTATTTATTGACTCGTTTCCTTAACAATAAGAACGGTTGAAATTAGAAAACATTGTTACATTTCCCACTAAATAAACAAGCCTAAGAAAAGCACCAATTGAACTACCTAATTACCTCGGATCATTAGTGTAATAGTCCTAAACCACTAACTTATCAAGTTTGTTAAAAACATAATTAAAAGAATATCACTTGAGAAAGAAATTTTAATTAAAAGTTATTTTGTATGTTAATGACACAACGTGGCATTTACATGTGGTTTAACAAGCCAATCGAAAGTAATATATATATAGAGGTCGATTACATCATATCTTCGCTAAAATATGCAGTGAATAAAATATATAAATGAAATATATGGCAAGAAGTAGAAGTGGGACCCACAAGAGCACGGGAGTGTTTGCTAGAAAATATAAGATAAAAGAAAGCTTTATGTCTTTAATACACCAATGCTCTGTGTTAAAAGTAAGAGAAAAGGGGGGAAATGAGAATTGGTGTGGAAAATGACAAAAAAAAAATTTAAATTTATATGACAGAGGAAGAGGGGGAAGTCTAAAATTTTTACACTCACCATTGAATTATATTAAAAAAATTCGGTTCGAAAACTAATTCCATATATGCAAGTTACTCATCCGACCGGCAAATGTGTAAGTACTTTTTTGTTTTTCTATAGGCAATGGACTTAACAATTATCCTAATTTTTATTCCATCCTCGCTCTTTTAACTTTTTGGACAAAGCATCAACCATTTCACGTTATGCATGGAATGAACAATTCTTCATCACGCGCAAACAATTGTTCATCTTCCTTTAAATTTATGAAAGATAGACAGCTGCATATCTACTGTCCACTACCAAGAGTAATTGTTCAGTATATGTAACGAAAGATAAATATGAAGTACATTTAATAAATATATGGTCAAGTATAGTAATATGTATAGATATTAAGAGATAGAGATAATGACAAAAACAATATTGAACTTTGGCTCAATGTGCTATTTTGTCCCTAAACTTTTAATTTGTTCAATATAATCCCTGAACTTTAGCCTAATATTCAATGTGATCCCTGAACTTTTAATTTATTCATTGTGGTCCTTGAAAACTACATTGAATATTTTCATATAATTCAGGGACTAAATTAAATACGTACCAAAAGTTTAGGAATGACATTAAACAAATTAAGAGTTTAGGGACCACATTATATATTAGCTTAAAATTCAGGGATTACATTGAACAAATTAAAAGTTCAGAGACCAAATAGCACATTGGGCCAAAGTTCAGGGACTATTTGTGTCATTTTCCCTCGGAGATACTCATGGATTGAAAAAATCCTAGTAATTAATTTTGAGATACAGAGTTGATGATGACCTATAATTTTATTTGGGTAAAAAATGGATGACTTGGATTGAGCAAAACAAATCGGTTAAGTTAAACATATTTCCATAAGAGAAAGGATGCGATTTCGAAAGCACTTGTTGAAAAAAAAACCCTTGCCCATCGATGGCTGGCTCGTCACCTAATCCTACCTTAAAACCTAAGAATGATTAATTAACTTACCTCGAAATCATCTGCCGTTGCCCCCTTAAATACTGGCACTGAGACGACAACCCCCTCACGCTTTCGCCTTGCTCTCTCTCTCTTTCTCTCTTTCTCTGTCTCTGCAAAGTACCTGAAGCTCTCTCTTTCCCGAGAAAGTTGCACCAGAACCCTTTGTCGTCGATCGCTTCATTTGGCTTTTAGTCAACACACACGCAGAGACGCGTACAGTCTCTCTCTCGTTTCTTGGATCATAGCCGTTGTCGTTAGTCTTGCGTGGGAAAGGGGAGAGAGAGGGAGAGAATGGTCAAGGAGGGAGATCAGACAGTGACCATCCATCTGCTGAAGCAGAAGATGGCCGAGTTCGCTGAGGAGAGAGACTGGGATCACTTTCACAGCCCCAGGAACCTCCTCTTGGCTCTGGTGATCTTCTTCCCTTGTTATTTTCAATCTTTTATGTTGGGCGATGAACCGATCCGGCTGTTTGAGAAAATTCCTGTCCCGTCACTCTTTTTTTTTTTTTCTGTTTGGTCTTCGTCTTTTGGCTGTCGTTTCTGGGTATTTGTTTTTTCGTCGTGGTTTTGCCATTTTGGGTGATTAATTGTTGGCCAAAAAGTAAAAAAAGACATCTTTTTTGGCTGATCTTCTTTGACCCCCATAATTGATCAAAGTTATGTGATCAAAACGTATGCATATATTTGCAGTTTTTTCTTTCATAAGCGTGTGAATCAGTTCTGTAGACATGGAGTCCAAACTCGATAGCATTTCTTTGGTGTCGTTTGATCGATGGATCTCGTACGCGCGGACCCATCACTTGGTGTTTGGCATAATTGATATATACATATCATAATCTATGGGATTCACTGGATTTTTGCATCCGTCACCATTCGCATGCCACTAGACAAACTGCAACACCCACTTAGCTTTGGCTCAATGATGATTACTATTTTAACTAGCTATCTGTTTGTCCTTACTTGTTTCTGAGTGCTTCATTGGCCTGATAATGAAGAAAAGCTGGGCCTTCTGTTCCCACTTATCTTTCGCACTCTCTTTCAGGACTCTTATGTGATACACACACACTGTGTAACTTTTGACCTTTCATAAGTCAATTAAATCATTCCTGGATCATCTTTCTTCACTTGCTCACGGTTTCAGTTGTGAGAGGAGGCGTTGCATTTTTGTTAAAAGTATGGGGCCAACACCTCCCAGCTGTTCATAGCACAACTACAATACATCACAGTCAACGAGGCAAAACCGTACCAAATGGGTTCTTAATTTAGTGTTTTCTTTGGTCTTTTTGATTCTTCGCACAGGTGGGCGAGATCGGGGAGCTGTCGGAGATATTCCAGTGGAAAGGGGAGGTGCCGAAGGGCCTTCCGGATTGGGAAGAGGAGGAGAAAGTGCACTTGGGCGAGGAGCTCTCGGACGTGCTGCTCTATCTGGTCAGGCTCTCCGACATCTGCGGCATCGACTTGGGCCGAGCAGCCCTCCGCAAGGTCGAGCTCAACGCCCTCAAGTATCCCGTCTCTCTCTCCAAATTGGCCTCCTCCAAGAAGCAAGAAGCCATCACCACCAAAACCCTTGTTGGCAATAGTGATACTGCTGGCGCTGTTGTGGCCGAGAGTGGTTGATCATGTTGAGCTTCTTTTCATTTTGATCCAAATAATAGTGCTATATGTAACTTTCTCTCTAGTGTGTGTTAAGAGTCTTTATTTTGTAATTTGGGTCGAATGTCGCAAGAAGTGGCTTACTTTAACATATTGGCATGATCTTACTGTACTCTCGCAATCTTGCTACGTCGAGCATCCATGGCAATGGTTTCGATACGATTAGAATCTAGTTTAGTGAAAAAGTTTAGATATTGGTTCATCATAGACTTGGCGGTCTGCTCAAACCCGATTTGTCCGGAGGGCAAAATGGATGAGCCTAGACAAGCAATCCCTTCTCGAGTCTAGGTGACCAAATCTAGGAGTGCCCAAACACCGCCGTTCGTATCGGAAACTTAATAACTTTTTTAATCATGGGTGAGTCCGGATAAAAAATTTTAGACACGCTAGTCGGTACCAACCATAACCATCTGGTTCAAGCCCGTCCATTAATCAGATGTAGATAATTAGCTCTATTTTGGACAAAAAACTCTCATCCTTCTCTATGGGAAAGAGACCCTTCTGCTTCGTACTGTCAAATTTGTCAAGATCGTGGTAAAAATGGGCAATAGAAATTACCAAATCTTGCGGTGGTCGGTTGGAAAATGGAGATATAAAGTCTTGAACAGGGTCTCCTCTCTCCCTCCATGTATTGCATGGGGGATGATATGGAGTGGGATTTCGAGGTACTCTTACATATCCTCAAAGATTTTGTTACCCTTTTAGGAGCTAAAATCCAATCCCCCTTGGGATCTCTCTTCAGATATGGTGGTCTTATTGTAAGTCCTTTTATGGGTGCTTGAGCTGTAGGTGATAGCTTAGCCTTCTTTTCCCATCACGAGTTGTCGTCCCCTTCATTGCGAATCTGCAACCGAGATTTGAAAGTGATGACATAAGACTTAAAGATCGACATTTGATCATAATTATGTTACACGCGTTGCATTGACTTTTGACGAGTCCAACCGGATGCTGCTTCTTGGTAAAAATTTCTAAGAAAAATGTCGAAAAAAAATCATAAACATATCGTATTTATATCAATTTAATCTTAAACATTTTGATTTAGAGCCAGTTCAGTTATTTCGGTTAATTTTGGCCGGATATTATTAACGTGAATATGGGTTGGGCAGCCTACGCGGTACAATCGATGCTGACGTTGACAATCTTTAATAATATTTTAATATTTTTTGAATTTTTTATTTTTTTTATTTTTTTTTTCTCCAACCGCTAGCCGAGACTGACCAGAGACGAGGTACCTCACCGGCCTCTGGCGAGCCTCACCTAGCCCTCGCCAGAGGCCGTGAAGCTGCGGCCTTCAAGACTCAAGCCCTCTACCATGGGCGAGGCCTGACCTCACTAGCCTAGCGCAAGGCTGCCCTTGCCGGCTCTCACCTTTAGCCGGCAGCCGAGGTCCAGCGACTGTATGGAGGAAGAAGAAAGGGAAGGGAAAAAAAATAAAAAGAATAAATAAATAAATTTGAAAAAAAATATTTGAATATTATTATTCTGCCAAAATTTATTGAAAGAACTGAACTGGCCCTAGGTCAAAAGATTTATAATTAAATTGGCACAAGTGCGATAAAATTCGTGATTTTTTTTTACTGTTTCCCTCGAAATTCCCAATTCAACCTGTGAACGAAGAAAGGTGGATATTTTGCTAGGATTCATGCTTAACATGAGTAGACCATTTCCATGGCTATTCGTTTTTGCTTGAATGTCCATATGGTTATGGATATTATATTAGCTGCGTGCGTACGACAAACGGCAGAAGACGTCGTTTTTGCTGTCGTTTGGTCGCGTTACAATAGTCAAATATCTAAAACGAGGTTTGTCGTGTTGGAAGGAGTCTTTGTGTTCGACAAGCCAACGCTCTTAGTTCTTGGACCAAACCCAAAGCTCAAAGCCTTAATTGGCGCAGTCTTATCAAATCAGATGTAGAGCTTTCAAAGAGTCACGTAATCGTACTTGGGAGAGAGAGAGAGGAGAGAGATTGGACATTGGAGGATGGGGGACATTGGAGCAGGGGGTACGTGTCGCAGGGGACTGATTGGTTCGTAGTTCTTATCGGGTCGCTGAGATTGTCCTCGGATTGCTCTCGGTGTTCTTCATATTGCAGACAATTACCTGGAAATTAGAGAACCTCGCGGGCCCAAATTCTTCTGTTTTGCCTCTCTCGGCATCACGTTGGGGTCCATTCTAAGGTCCGAAGATGGATGCTATTGCTCGTAGGGGTGTGCAAAAAACCCAGGACCCCGCGGAGGGAGTGGTTGGGGTTTCAATTTGGTGGGTATCGTCTTTTAGCCCCGTTGATAGAATTTATGGAAAGTTAGTTCTTTTTTTGTCTGATTCACAGTTTCATCTCTTGTTCACAGTTTCATCTCTTGTCTTTATCCTCGTATGCGTGCCACATATCTGGTCTGCTTACAATTTATTAGAAGGGCCCTTGTTAGAATATTAGCATCTTTTAGATACAGAGTTCTAATTGGATTTCACACGGTCCCTATCTCTTCTTTCTTGCCAACCACCATGCCACCACCTACGCTTCATCATCGCAACCGCCCGGTCACCGACCGCGTTCTCCGCCACATCTTCAGCGGTTTTCACCTTGCTCTCTCTCCCACGCGATTTCGACGACCTCTTATGGATGTTGATATGAGGTTAGGAAACTCACAGAGGGAGAGAGGGATGGGCAATGAGACATAAAGCTCGGCTCACCGAGACTGATGAGGGTTGATGGCGCTCGCCAAGAATCCGATGACGGTACATGAGAGAGAGAGAGAGGTGGCACTTTCGCAAATATCAAATAAATATGTGTGACAAACATTTGACAGTGTACGAGGTGGCAATAGCATATGGAAAGAAATATTGGAATTAGTTCCCTAGTACCTTACGAATCTGATACACAATTTAATATATCCAATTATATGGCAGATTCTAATTGTGCATTGAATATGACCACTCTTTTGAAGTCCGACTTATGGTACATTGCCTCACTTATATTAATCTGTAAACTGGTCTTGATCAAGCATTACTCAAAACATCGTACCGTTGAGAAAATGACCGAAATGGAATGAATTCTAGAAAAGTATATACAAATCCTTAAGAGAATTTAACTTTCTACATAAATTATATTTATCTGGAACATATACCTAATAATCAGTTCTGTTCAATCAGTCTATTATTTTGAGCCAAAAGCTTCCTCAACTTGGTGGATCCACTAAAGTGAGTAGGGAAAAGAAAAGCAAATTATTTAATTATATTTTAAAGTTTGGTAGTGCAATCATATACATGTCATGATTGGATTCCAAGGTAATTGATACGTTCTGTTTGCATCTTCTATCAATTCCTCTTCAGTTGAGTAGAGGCCTATCTCTTGTAATCATGACTACCACAAGGCTTGAGAAGAAAAGGTTCAAAAGAAGGCGAAGCCCCTTCCAAAGGCCACAATTCACTTCACTTTAGTATCAGGCTCTAAAACATAATGATGGTGATAATTACAGCCATCATGACCCTAATGATTAACACCAATAGATGCACCTCACAGACTATATAAACATTTGATTGGATATGAAGATGCCAAACACTCCCAATATTGGCAATATGGAGAAGAAGGATGCCAACAGCATCTCTGTGCTGTCGAATTCCGCAATCTTGGTCGGGTGGTGCCGCCCGCACCGGCGGCTGAGGAGGCGGAGGGGCAACATGATACGGCTCGGCAACAAGCGGCGCGGGTTCTGCCTAGGGACGCGGCCGGTGGTCCGGTGGGGAGCCGTTGCAAGCCCGTTCCGGGTGCTGAAGAAGATTGTGATGCAGATAGCATGGAGTGGGAGCTTGACGGACAATTGTATCTGGTCTCTACCCATTTTGCGCCCGCAACTGTTTCCCTTGTGTTGACTGCTAACAGCATTTTCGTTCTACTGTAAAATTTCTCCCCCTTCTTTCACTTTCTAAATCTGTATAATAACGGCAGAGTAAAACTGCATAATTAAGAAGCCACCCTGTTAGCTTCAATCGATCGAAGACCCTACCATGTCTTGACCTCTCCGCTGGGTGCTGGCTTATGGGGTCTGTACTGAATCTGCTCTTCTAGCACAATTTCGATTTTGTAGTGGCAATACAGAAACAATGCAACCCTGGTAATTTACTAGACAAATTTTCACAGTTAACAATTTCTCTAGACCATTAACTCAGAATAACTAATCTCATCCTCCTCATGGAATAAATTACACGAACTAGAATCAAGAGCGGAGACAAAAGTGCAAAGGATAAACTTTGCTCAGCATTGTCACAAGCATTAACATAATAGACTTTGGTCGACGTTGTCACAAGCAAAAACACAGCTAACAACGATAATTTGCAAGCCCAAAGATCTTACAGATTCATCTGTTTTTTCATGTCCCTGCAAAATGCAACTTATACACATCACCAAGCAATACAAGCTACACCTCTTTCCAACAACAAAATGGAGGTAAGCTGTCACCACTCTATACAACAAGTACGATTTTATACAGACAAGGGACATAAATGAAGCCACAAATCTTGCTAAAGCATCCAAACTAGCTTTTGGTAAAGTATGCAAATAGTGTCGGTTGTTTATCTTCATTACTCTTAACCTCTCTTTTCTTCTTCAATGGACTTGTTTGGGTCACATTTGTTTGGTATGTGCCTTGATCGGAATCAGTTGAGAACTCCTTGTAGTCCCTTTTGACTTGGCCCTGTCCGGTTGCGTCATCAAGATGTTTAGCAACGTCAGATTTATCAGTTGGCGATGAGAATTCGTTGCAGTCTTCAACTTTAGGTTCCCCTTTAAAGCTTGTATGCACATCAGTCTCGACAGAATCATGATGAGAACTTTTCTCTTCTCCCTTAGCTTCTTCTTCTTTCTTGATTTCCTTTCTCGTGAAAAATTTTGAAATCATATTTTTGTCCTCTTTCTTCAGTTGGATCTGCAAACAAGTAACCGATGTGAACCCAAGAAGATTTCTAGTGACAAAAGAGTAGATAAAGGGAGAAAAAGACATTCAGTTTGTTCTGTGAGGGTCAAATCTGCTCTAGTGCAAAGACAATGTTACATAGATAAAAATCTTCGTGGTGTGCCAATGAGTACAAGAGATCCAGTGGTCAGGGAGAGGAACGAGGATAGACTCTTTGCTAGCTCGTTGACTAGTATGGCAATTTGACCACCTTCTTTAACATAAAACGCCAGGAGATCATCACCATCCACAAAAAACATACCTCCACGTAATCAACTATGAGCCGCTCATGGAAGCACATTCAGAAGCAACAAAAATGACTCAATTATCAGCAACTCCCTAAGATTATCTGCTAGAAAAAATAAAGAAACCAAAGGCATATTGAGACTGTTGTGTGACTGTCATAAATACAAATTTCTTTTATGCCAACTTTCTAGTGCTCCGTCCATGAAATCTTCAGGGCCTTGTGTACCATCCATCATGAGTATATTTCATAAATGAGACTGTTGTGTGACTGTTACAAATAAAGAAGATAAGCCAAGCTCAGCTTACCTCCTTAATGCATTCTGGTCCATCAAATGATGGCTTGCCCATAGCAGGTGTCACAGGGTACCAAACCTAAACAAAGAATTTCAATAAGCTGGGTGCATTACATGAGGCAGGTCTCATCCAATCTTTCCACAGTCATGGAGCTCTTACCAGATCTGGCTCTGCATATGGTTTGAGCACAGTATCTAATTTGGAAGAAGACAAGCCACCCAGCCATTTATCAGTTGACTCCTTGTCACCTAAAATAACGGGCATCCTGTCTGCAGTGCAAGATCAGTGCAACTCTATACATGATCCCTCTCCTGTCTCAAAATCCTTGTTGCATAATCCATGCCCATAGTGTCTATTGTGTATCTCAGGCTACTATAAACAGATGACAAGAAGAACTGCCATTTTGTTGCTCAAGTTGCTATGAAATATGATCAAAAGAAGGCGACTCTTAAGACCTTGAATGGGTAGTGAAGAAATGAAACATCAATGGACTAATTTCAGCATAAAAAGTTCGAACCCTTGATTTTAAATTCTCCCATATCCTAGTTTCCTACAATCTTAAACAGAAACCACAATTTCCAGCTGATCACAAAATCTTATCCTTCAAAAAGTATACATCTAAGCCTCTTCTGTAAAGCATGACCAATCACTTTTTTATGCTAGGTCTGGCAAAGATAAAGCTTACTGATTATAACTCAAAAGTACACCTATATTGAGTAAGTCACTGTAGAATACGAGAGAAACCATGTGATTAGAGATAAGAAAGCTAAAACAAGAATTGTTTACCATGTAGCCACTGCAAAGCTGGCGATGATGAAGTTGTGACAATGGTAAAGGTGTAAACAATTTCACCTGCAGAAAAGCATTTGCTCAGTGATATGGCTGTGAATCATATGTCCATACAAAGTCGAGCAGCTCTAATTAGGTTAAATTAGCCTTTTCTGCCTTTTCTCCAGAGAAAGAGTAGAAAGAGAAATAGGACAAATAAACTCGACAATTGGGAGCAGGACCAGCTAAAGCAAAACAAAAGTTAATGATGCATCATCGAAGACCAGAAGATTGTACATTACCAGGCCGGAATTCAAGCAAAGTAGCCGTGACGTAGGAAGTGAATTAAAAAGAATAAGTACCAAACAAAAGACGGAAAGGAAAGGATTTTCTCAATGAAATCAATACACGCTACGACTGATATTTATATTTAACAGAGTAATGAACCTTCTGAGTTCTTCCATGAATCATACAGAGCAGCAAATACAAGGGGACGACCATCCTTGAAATGAATGTAATATGGCTGCTTTTTGGATCCATCTTTTTTCCATTCATAGAATCTGTAAATTACATCCAAGTTGATTAACACACTAAAAGATGCAGAAAACTTGAAAGAAGAAGCTAAGCACCTACAAGCAAACTACAAAACATCCCACACTCAATGAAATATCCAGTATCTACGACATGACCCCTAAAAGAGGCAGAAAAAAATGCCAGTTAACCATAAATATGACATGTGCTCCGGAGAATAGACAGAAGTAGCAAGACATCAGATACTTCAGACAATCAATAGAACCCATTACAGTCAATCAAGATAAGGAAAAGGTTCAAACTATGGTAAGGGAAATTCTCAACAACACTCCAGACAACCTAACGATTTTACTAAGATGTGGTTGGACTCTAGCTTAAGAAGTCATCACATTATCCTATGTTTTTTCTGTTCCAGTCATGCCAAAACTAGAAAACAGAGTCCTCAAGATATCTGCAACTAAAGCTCTTAATTTCAGCAATGTCCTTGGCACTGCCTCCAGTAACAGATGAAAAGTGATTGCAGACCTGACAATTAACAAGAGACCACATACCACTACATAAATGTGTATTAGGCTAACAAACACATTTGGACTAAGATTATTCTTATAACATATATTTGGCAGATGGGGAAAAAACTAAAGTGGAAAGGCTGATTGCCGAAAAAGAACTAAAAAGGGAAGGTTGATTGCCATTCACGTAAAATATAAGAACCAAGCTAAAAAAAAAGGTAAATTATAAGACTAATGTCATCTCAAAAATAGAGACTGCTAGCTAAAGGAAGACATATGCCTCCACTGTGTTCCATGACCAAGAGATCAATTCATGCAAGGATTAGATATGTGCATACCCTTCAACAGCCACAAGGCACCGGCATTTGGGAATGAGACGACGAAACGAAGCCTTTTCATTTATCGACTCTGACCGAGCATTGAACTGTGACAGACAGACAGACATCAATTAGACACGATGCAAGTTTGTACATGCAGAAAACCAAAGTAAACCAATAAGTTCTAACTTTATCCTAACTTAATTCTCGAAATCAAACAAACATTGCCGACCAAAATAAAAAAAAAGAATCTGCAAGACATCATTAAAGTCCACAAACTAACGCGGCACCACAGAAGTTCAAGTCATAAAAAAAAAAAGAGATTTGCATGCCAATAGCTTAATACCATCTTATAATGATCAGGCTTCTCGTTTTTCTTGGTGAAACTGGGAATCAACCCCCATTTCATGCAGTGGAGCACGTAATCATCCCCGTCGGAATTCTCTTCCCTCCGCACCACCGGCACATTCCATCCCGGCGAGAAATTATAGCCCGGGCGGTACCTGAGTGACAAAGCACACGTCCCTAACACTTTAACTCACCAGCAAGAAACACCTTCGCGCAACATTGGAGAACAAAAACGAAGCTTCATTCGCCAAAGAAGTCTTCGCAGACTTGCTTGCTTTCAACCGAAACTTTCCACACAAAAAAGAAAAGAAAAGAAACGGCATCGCCTGTTATCACTGGAAAAAACAAAAAGGCAGAAAACTAGGGCATAGCTCAATCGCGCTCCTCGATCGACGCAATCGACGGAAGTGATTTCTCTGCGATCGAACATCCGATTGCACCTCCGGCGCTCTCGAACCCACACGAATACCCATGCACACGCTCGCGCATACACCGGAAAACCTAGAGAGAGAGAGAGAGAGAGAGAGAGAGAGAGAGAGGGAGGGAGAAGCGATACCGGTCCATGTCGATGGTGCGGGAGGGTTGACCGCCGCGGTGAGCGGCGCGGGGGATGTCGTCGGCCCTGAGGCTGCAACGAGCTCTTCCACACATGCTCTCCCGGCGATTCTGCTATGCGCTGCGCGTGTGCAGTCTTCGAGTGCGAAGTGGAAAGAGCGGGAAGGAGAAACGACGATGGCGGTTTCGTTTCCATTGCCGAGCGGCGTCGGAACTCGACGGGAGCCGTTGGATTCGACCGAGCTCCCCGAGATGGGCGTCCGTACTGCCTCTCTGCTTTTTTTCCTTTTTATTTCAATTTTCTTTTCTACAGTAAATGCAGATGAATTATAAAATACCCCCCAAGATTTTGGGGCTGTCGCAAAATTGCCCACCCAATGTTTCAATTTAGACAATTTGCCCTCCGAATTTCGGAAATCGGGTTGCCGTGCATCATCCCTGGACAGCGACTCCGGCCAAATTATATTCGGAGCTTCGATCACGTGACAGCACACGACTTACAAAAGGATAGTTTCGTCGTATAAGTATGCACACAAACATATATAAGTAGAATAATATTCGACCAAAAAAAAAAAGTAGAATAATAACTTTGAAATATACAGTATTCGATATCATGTAATTATAATTTCAACGAGAATTTGATCGAGATCTATGTCGAATGGATATCTATTAGTAATTCTGAAATTATTACACTTTTTAGTAGACTCTATATTTTTTTTCTCACATATGTCGATGATATATGATCAATTTGCCTTTCATAATAAAACACGTCCGGTCACGGGATCAAAAGTGCGATAAGAATTTAGTTGGGGGGCATTGCCGCAAATTTCACAAACTGAGGGGGGCAAGTTGAAAAACAAATTAAGACGTCCAAAAATGAAGAAACCTCGACAAAACCCTCCGAACAAAACAGTAACCTCCCCAATCCCGGAGAGCTTGCTCCAAACTCTTCCATGCAATCCCTCGCGAAACGATTCCCCGCCTTCCGCCGATGCGTCGGCGGCGGCGGCGGCGGCTCCCTCTGCTCGCCTCGGCACTACGCCGTCCCGCCGCGGCGGCGGCCGAAGTCGCCGCCCCTCGCGCTCAGGAAGCCGGACGGGAAATCGGAGTGGTGGATCGTGGACGGCGAGATGCACGAGATCGGCGACAACGTGCCCCCGCGCGAGCGTTTCGTGATCCCCAGGGACAACATACCCAACAGGCGGCGGAAGCAGCTCAGGGATCAGTTCATGCGCCGCACTCGCCTCGTGCTCAAGGAGGCGGTCCGTACCGACACTCGATTTGCTGTTCGAAATTTTTTTGGCGCTCGTGTTGTGGGAGATGTGTCTGTAGCTCCTTTGTCGGTCGCGCTGTGTGAAATGTTGATGGGAGTGAGGCTTTGGATTTCGTCTTCAGCTGGAATGTGGGTTGCGTGTCGATTGCGTTGTTGGATGTCATGCAAATGGTGTTTGGCTTTGTAGGTTACATGGTCTCTAGCTCTTCAAATTACTGCTTTCCTTTTACCATTTATTAAGGGTGTTTTGTTGAGTGTTCGTTCAGTTTTTCTACTCATGGTAATGATGTACAGAACTGTTCGCCTGTATTCCGTATTGTGTTGCAGCATTCGACCAAGATTCGAGGTGATCTTTCGGGAGGATGAGTATTGGTGTATATGCTGGGACTGTGTGAACAGTGTGTGATAGAGAATTGAAAGAACCCACATTAGTTTTGTTTGAATCTCACCTATGTGCTATGAGTCAATTGAAGTGTTGGAAATTTGTTCTTTGGATTTCTTTTACTTGTTGCATTATCTTTTTTGACTTGCGGTAATGATTCAGGAGCATGAGCCTTGGTGCAAAAGGTATATGGAACTGTATAATGAGCTTAGAGAGAATTGGGAGAGGCTGTATTGGGATGAAGGGTATTCGAAGAAAATTGCCCAAGATCATGCAAATTATGAATCTGCTGAGGATGATGATCAAGATTTTTCCCCATACAGGTTGGGCAATGATAAGCATGAAATTTTCTCCTCTTCAATTGATGTGGTTTAAACAAGTTTTAGCCCCCTGAATTGGAGACACAAATCATATATTGGGAAGCTTCTCACTAGCTGAGTCATGAAAAGTAAAGCATAGCTTTTATTTCAGCTTCCAAGAGATAGTATGAACCAACTATAACTGTGTTGTATATCTTCTTTATGTTTCAGGAGCAGGAGGTCTTATGCAGGCCAAGTCAAGGTACTGGAGTGGAATCAGAATCCTTGTCTCTTATTTACAGTATTGCTTTTTTTATCTGATAAAATCACCATGGGACTGGAATTATTATGAAGGCAAATATGGTTACTTCCTCGCTACTTACAATGCTGTGTCTCTGAATGATTTGTCAATAATCTCTGCACGTCCATTGTATTATAAGGTATCTAAAAGACGGTAAATTTTTCTGAATGCAGGAGCAAGGATTTGTAAGGAATGGACAAGGTGATACATGGGAAAAGGTTAATCAAATTCGAGATAAGTTTGAATATGATAGAGAGAGAAGAATGAGGGAGAAAGGTAAGGTCATGTTTGACTTTTTGAATGACTCATCTTTGTCCATTGGTTTCACCAAATAATGAGCTGCTTGCCAGTGATTTTTTACTCCTAAGGTAACATACATGTCTGCCACCAACTTCTATTGTTTGTGACCTATGTGGTAACACGTCACCATGAATTTTTTAGCTTCCCATATAAGAAGTCAAGCTACATGATCTGTCTCACACGTCTGTAGGCTTTCGAACTTCTGTGAATCTTGTGGTATACCTTGTTTTCGATAGTTGATGGATTGGCTATACATATAAAAGGATAGGGCAGATGTAATTTCTTGTTTTGAGTAAAGAGCTGATTGCATTGGCACCTACATTCTTAGCACCTACATTCTTATTACGTCGCCCAAGGCGGCTGCTCCTGGAATTAAAGACTAGTGGGTTTATGGAAACTAATCTGGGTATCACCTGTATTCCATTCATTATAAAATGCAGATCATTATTTAGCTAGACGAAGGATAAGGCAGAGCATAATTTTTTATTTTGAGAAATGAGCTGGTTGCATTGGACCTACATCATACCACATCACACAAGGCATCTGTCCCTTGAACTAAGTAACGAGTGGGTTTATGGAAAATATTCTGGGTATCTAGTATCTACCTGTTATTTCATCTTTACAAAATGCAATTGAAAATGCAAAGCACTTTAAGTTACTCTTTGGATTTTAATGAAATGATGAATTGTAACCCTCAGCTGGATGGCCAGTTTCACATTTTTATCTGTTTTTCAAAATCAATTGGTTGAATGACCTCTCTGAATGGGTCTGTAATTGTGGGCATGACCTCTCTGAATGGGGTCTGCCATTACCCATAATTTATGTTTTCTTACACGGATGTAAATCTCAATTGCTCTTTGCCCCTGAAAAAGCCAGTCCAATTAGATTTTGCCAACAAAAATGAAAATTTGAATCACAGCTTCCAAATTAACAGAAATCAGGAGACCTAGTGAATAGATTGGATTACCGAGTCTACTTGAATTCCAAATTAAAACTTTGAATTTTATTTCTCACAATATCCATGGTTACAAAAGTAGGAATTCTTCTTATTTTTCTCATTCTAAAACACTATACAGAAACCCTTAAATTAACCTGGCTCTTAAGATTATGGACCAATTCTGATTAAGATCTTTTATCAAATTAACAACTTTCTATTGTTCCATGTCAGTATAACTAAGATTGATGGGTTGATAAAAAGTTTGATGTTAAGTGGCAAGAAATTAGCTCTCAACCAGTAGTGATTAGCTAAATCAATGGTTGTTTAAAAGTAATATTTCGTGAGTTAAGAATATTTGGTTTCAGGGTATCTATGGTTAGGGGATCAATCCCCTCAATTACCTAGTTGTATCTATGGTTCAAATTCGCAACTCCCACACGAAGTGTCATAACACAAAATCAATAATTTGCATATTAGGACACTTTATATGGAAATAATCAAAAGTGAACTTTGATTTTGACGAGGAAGAATGGGAGATTGGTCCCCCGAGGGACCGTATTTGACCGTTTTGGCCCCCCCAAGATTCTAAGTCTAGATCCATCCTTATTTGTGGGAGTCATGTTTCCAATTTTATAGACATGCTCCCTTGGTTGTGATGTCATCAATCTGTGATTCGTCTACAGACTTGTTTATGAGTCTTTTTACTTCATATCACGAAATCTATATATGTTTAAGTTCAATTTCATGCTTCTAGTTTTCCGGAAATGTTAGAAACAGTCTTTTGTGCGTTATTTTGCATATGGTAGCTTTTACCTATAGCTGTTTTGTATGGGGGCAGTACCCCCTTGGTACCTTCTTAATGAAATCTCATTTATCACTAAAAAAATTTATCTAGTCATAAATGAGCATAAAGTACCTATAAGAAACGTATGAGCTATATTTTCCTTTAATGGTTATTACTTGTTCTGACACACTCAAGCGTCAGCAGCAGCATGCTTTTAATGAGTAATATACTGAAATTTATCTTTACGTGCATGATATAGATGCTATTGATCATGTCTGTTGGTTCACTCTTTTTGTTGATTAGTACCTCCTTTAACTTCTTAAGCTAGAAGATAAAAATTTTCTCCATATACCTTTTTGCTAATTTTCTTGTTCAAGCATTTCCCTAGATGTCAGATGGCTATGACATTGCAAATGTGAATGAATAGCTGTGTTTTTTGTCGATTTGTAGGAAAAGGAATTATCTTTGTGAAGAAAATGAATGTACTTTATCACGATGTTCTCATTGCAGAATCTAGATTAGGTTCCATCCTTATTTTAGCCATTCAAGTGCGGGTGAATTTGAAGCATTCGTGTGTAATATTCAAAAAGCCCTAAGAATGAGAAAAAAATTTAAAATAACAATATTTTGTGTCCTGGAATGGTTTTCTATTTGTAGAGTAAATTATGCAAACTATGTTATTGCAAATACTGAAAGCTCACAAGGACAGTGACTGGATGCAATCTCATTTCCTTAGTGCAAGCTGAAGGCAGCACTTAGATTGATGGCTCTTTATTGTCATTGGAAATTTTCGTTGAGTTCTTATAATTCAGGTTGCAATAGTGTATTGGTGCCATTTCTCATGTATTTATGCATGCCAATTGCAGCATTTGCACCCATGAACGCAGCACCCCCTTCGGATGATCCAGATGCAAGCTCCCGGTATCGGCCATTCGATGCTCAGAGATACTTTTCGGAAAGTGAAAGTGACTGATGGCTCCCATTAGAGTTCCGTATCTCGCCAGCTAAAATTGGCATGTGAGGCAAATGTGTCCTCCTGGACAAGTCAATTCGTTCCCATGCCAGAGCCAGTAAAAAAGCAGTGATTTGCGCATTACTTTCACTTGTGGTGGTTGCAGATTCAGCAGAGCAGTTTGCACGGCATGCTCTGGGGGTGTGCTCAGAGGATCTGGACTGCTAACCATCTTTCTTCCCTCTTACCTATGTATGCAATTTGAGGAATATAATTATATGGTTCAGTGTAATTTTGTATCAGAAACTGAGAACTTTAATATCTTTTATCATCTGGCCGTGGCTTTCCCACTGTGAATACAAAAGAAGAGAAAGCAGGCCATTTGCTCTGAAAGTAAAGTGAAAAGGCTCTCTCCCCCTCTCTGCTCGCCAATCAGAAAAGAGACCACGATCTCGGTACTCAACTGTTCTTAACTGCAAGTCCAATGGGATGATTGACTGCAATCGTTAGGTTTGCCTCCCCTTGGTTCCCGATTATTCCTTGCTTTTGCTTTTGGGTTTTAGAAGTTCAATGCATTGCTTTTGATTAATTTCCAACGTGAATTGCTATCAAAAGTCTACTACAAAAGGAAAAGGTCACTTGCATGCACCGAACTTTATGTCAATTTATGTTCATGCCTGTCTCGATGGTGTCACGGGAAGATTTGCAAAGTTCACACTTTTCTCTCCCGTGAATCTTGAGGCTGAAATATTAAAATTATGAAGTAAAATTAAACGTTCTTTCCCGCTTTTTTTTGTCCTTTTTTCTTTCGCTCTTTTCGACTTTCTCCGCTTTTGTAGAAGGGAAATCAAACCTACCCTTCATAGTGTTCTTTTTTGCTCTTTCACATCAGCCTCTTCCAATTTCCTCAACTCGAATGTCAACACCAGTCGATGACTGTCTCTCCATGTACAAACTAAGCGCCATTGTCCGTTTGAGCTCATCTCCTCGTTTTAATATGTAATTTGGGTCGAAAGAATTAATGTTGTGACTTGCGAAAGGAGAGAAAGAGGATGAAAAAGGATTAAGCTCAATGAACATTCCAACACAAAAAAGCTTGACTTCTTGCACCCAAAGAAATTACACGGCTTGATTTCCCATAGAAGTGCACGAAAAGATATACATAGCACAAGCATTCTATAGAATTCATCGTTGTAAGCTTCTCTAGCACAAGGCACAGGCTGGAATCAAGCAGCTGGAAAAGAAGGCCGACCCTCTTTTCTGCAGCAAAAATTCAAACAAAGTGAGAAGTTTAATTGGCCATGATAAAAAAAATTCAAAAATGGTACTTTAGCAAACAAATCGGTGGCTTAGTTATGATGTTGGTTTTTAATTGAAAAGGGTCTGAAAGCCTGCCTTCCTAGGTTTGACATGAAGCAGTTCGGCCGGGACTTTGTACAGGTCTTCATCAACGGGTTTCGGCCTCGCCCTGAAGTGAAATCCTGGGATCGGAGACCCTTCAAGGTCGTTCGGCCATCGCTTTTCTTTTACTATTTCGGCATGAGGGTCGTGAACTTCTGTCTGCTACAAATAACAAAAACTTGTAAGTACATTCCGCCAGTCATTTCGTTAGTTTTGTTCATGATCGTGATCCTTATAAGAGCATCTCAAGCTCCGCAAAATTATTATTTACTTCCAACATATGCATTCTAGACTCTACAAATGTGGAAATCGCATAAGAGGATGTAAATCTGGATCACCATAGCTTGAGGAGTTATGATAGTCAAATGTGGTAAGGCAAGTGTTCTTCACATTAGAGAAGACCTGTCTAGATTTTGCCTGCTAGATTGAACTCATCACATTTCGCAAAACATATGAAGTCACAAAAAAGATGAGACGTGATTTATGTGATTGGAGAGTTCAAATTTCTAACTCAAATTCACGAACAATGAAGTGATTCAGCGTGATTTCTCAAATCAAGATGAAAAAGAAAAATTTCAAAGAGAGGACGAGCGTGGAAATCCAAAAGCCTCTGGATCAAGGCGAAAGTGTCGCCAACAGAAATCTTTCGCATCACGCGGCGAAAAAGTTCACGATAACGAATGCTCATATTTTCAAGAGAAAAGAATAACTTGTTCATGTTTCCGAAACCGTTAGCTTTTTTTCAACTTACCCTTCGGCGAGGAACAACGATCACAGCAGGTGCTACTTCATCACTCTCGTAAAGACCATCATCCACGTATAAATCACGATCCTCGTTGCAGTACTCATAACGTAGCGACTCGGCCCGTCTCGCCGAGTCAAAGCACTGAGTGAAAGGAACGCCTTCGTAGCTATCCCAGCTCCCGAAAGCAGGGACTTGCCACCCTTGCCTCTTGGAATTACCCTACAATCATTGAACATGCATCAATCATTGAGGAAACTAACAAGAGAAATGAGTAAGCAAAGGCAAAAACAGTAGCGATTGTGCCTTACATGCATCATTGGAGACAAAAAGCAAAGAGAAGCGGGTGTGAATATTGGAATTTGATCACACACTAGTCACTAGATACTCAGCCTCATCTCAACCGGGTTTATATACACATGCGGATTAGACCTCTTTTTTTAGGTTGCTTTTGAATGTTCCTTTGGATACAATGCAGTAGGCATGGAACAAAGTCTATTTGAAAATTTTTCAAAAACTTTCTTTTCAGGCTAAAGCGAATGGTGATTTTCTTTATGATTTTAAAAGAAGAGAAAAGGAGAAGGATAAGGTGACAAAGCCCGTGGCACTGCAACTTTTTTACAACAGTAAAGCGACAGAGAGGTAAGCTGCGTGTGAGGGAAAGAGGGGGCAATTTGTTTTTCTTTTTGGCTCATTCATCTTCAACTTTGTCCGCTTCATTCCACTAATCACGTGTTGAACGCCTGATGATAAAGAGGTTAGGAGCTCTACTCTTTGATTATTTTAAGCAAGAACTCACTGCTTAGTGCCTCAATACCCTTTGCTTGAGTTATTATCTACTTAGGGTGCATTTAGTTCGATTTTGGAAAATATCTTTGGAAAAATGTAGAGGCCTTTGGGCTAAAGGGATTTCCGAAATTCAACTAGTGTTTCGTAAAGTGTATTTTAAAAACACATTGGTAAGCAACTTTGACCTAAATGTTGTTGGTAAAAACTATACTTTGTAAAAGAGTTTTGATAATTTTTTTAAAAAAAATCTCAAATTATTTGCCGGCAAAACTTAGCTGTCAGTGAGCTAAATAAGCTACCAGCCAACCGCTAGCCAGCCTCGCTTGAGGTCACCTGACCTCAGGCAAGGCTAGCAATGGCTTGTTGGTGGCTCGCTAGCTACTCGCCATTAGTTGAGGCCTTCGCCGGCAAGTTAGGGATCTTGAAGATATTTCTGGAATTATGAAAGATGAGAGAGGGCAAAATTGGAAGAAAGAAAAAAGTCTATTTGCATTCCGAGAATGTTACTTTCCAAAGTAAGTTCGTACCTGTCTTGGACTAAAGGCCTTTGGAAATGTCATTAGTAAAAACTATACTTTATAAAGGAGTTTTGCTAATTTTTTTAAAAGAGACTGAAAAAACATAATCCTTTTTTTTTCTTTTTTTTTTTTTTAACCTCTACGAGTTTTTCTCAGCTTATCGACCCAGGACTGCGATGATTGCGACCTTCTTGTATTCTTCTTGAAAGTATCATTTTGCAGCCAAAAATGTGGATCAAGCATGGATAGATGCATGGATAGATAGATAGGCCTTAAAACCATCTCCATTGAGAAGATCCAGTGGCCCAAACGTGCCTTTTATGCCCATGAATGCGGCTCATTTTCATGCCACAAGAAATCCAAGGAGATAGATCATGGGCCATGGCCTGGCTTAGCCTCGCTTGCACGAGATCTCGAGTTCGATTTCTATGGCCGAGATATAACATCCTGAATTTCGACCTATTTCCGGAATCAATGAAATAGATGTTATTTCTCATTTCATTTTAGTAAGTCTTAGGCCCGATCATTTTCGGGATACTGCCTTTGGGAATGGCTACTGGGAAATGTACGTGGACCTAAGAGTTCGATCATGAGTCGAGCCTTCGGTGACGATCGAGGTCGCCATGACTCGAATAACCCTAGGTCGATACGCGTAATCCCTAAACATGCCGCCTGTTAGTGAGAGACCCTAAAATTGAGATTGGGCGATTTTGATCGCGAAATTGGATCCGGACTTGGATGTCGATTTTGCGAGGTCGTGCGCGACTATTTCTACGAGGATGACGTCATTTTAGTGTGGCCAATGATGTTTGGGGTAAGTACGGTCGAAAAATGGAATTTCGACCGAACTCGAAATACGGCTTTGCCCTGTGGGCACCGAGGCTGGATTTGGAGGCTTGTTTGAGGTTATTTTCGCGGCCAAGGTCATTTTGGGGTGGCCACGCACATTTAGAGTGGTTTTGGCCAAAAATTGGAATTTCGACAAAATTAGAAAAATAATATTATTTTATTCAGGAACTTTGCGATCGATTTTCGAGGACTTAGAAAGTGAATTTCACGATTCGACGCCATATTATGTTGGCCACGCACATATGGAACACGTATGTGCGAAAATTGGAATTCGCCGGGACCGGAAAATTACGATTTTGCCCCTAGGCCTATTTTTGGGTATTCGAATTTTGGGGATTTTGGAAATTGAATTTGGGGATTAAGTGTGGATAAATATCAGCCCCAAAATATTGGACAAAACGCCTTAGATATTTTGGTTTGGAAGAATGTGGACCAAGTGTTTTAGGGCAAAATTGGAATTAAGGAAAAAATTGGTCAAACCTTGACCAAATATTTAATTGTTTCTCTCCTCTCTCTCTCCTCATTCCCTCTCTTCTCGGCAGCCCCCAACAGAGAACTCTCTCCCTCTCTCCCTCACCAAAAATTCTCTCATCTCTTTCTCGGCCTTGGACCGCCGATCATCGCTGGAGCATCGTCGGAGCAAGCCGCCACCGCCGATCGCCGCCGGCCAGCCGTTCCCCCTTGCCGCTCTAGCCGAGTTAGTCTAGAGTTCGGGTAAGTCGCTCCCTAAACCTCGCCTAGGACGTCGGGTATTTTTCGGACTCGTTTGGGTGCGGTTTGGGGTGATTAGAGGTTGATTAAGGTGTTGATCATGGTTATTGGTGGTTAATCATGGCTATTGGTGGCTGAGTATGGCTGTTAGTGGTTGTTGCGGGTTGGATTAGACGTCGGGAAATGAGTTTTGGCGGTTGGAATTCGGTAGAAATCGGTTCGGGTTTGAATCCGTGAGGTTCGGGGTGAATCGCGGATTCGCGGTTACTGTACCTTCCCGATTTGCTACTTTTGTAGAGAATTTTGAGGGCCGAATTTGGGGAAATTTTATTCATGAAAGTTGCTCCCAACATCTTGAAGTATGACATAATTTAATTTGGGAATTTTTGGAAATCATTTGATACCATTCGGAAGTCCATCTTTGGACCGAAATAAAACTGCCCGATTTACTGTTCACCCGACCTTCGGGTCTGTTCGAATTTTTACAAATTTTTCCAGGCCTATTTTCAAAATACTTCCTTCACAAAAATTGTTGGGGACATTTGTGGTTATAACATATAAAAATTTCAAGACTTTCCAAAATGATTTGGATACTGAATGAGTTGTATTTTGATGGCCTGAGGGGCTGTCCGAGCGAATCGGATTTTGTCCAACTTTGAGTGTCAAAACGAGGTGTTTATGGTTTGAACTGGGTTTCTAGTTCTTCTCGGAAAATGTTCATTGAGATGTTTTGTACAACATATTCAAATATAATAATTTTTGGAGCTGGTTTACTATTTATTTCAAATGGATTTCTGTCACTGCGCAACTGCCCAGTTTGGACCCGATTTTACATATTCTCGATTTTCTCTCTCTCGAGAATTATTCGGTGTTATCGTGGCATTTTGATGGGTAGTTTGATGCTTGAATGAGCTCGTATGTGTGATTGTGTGGCTGTGAGGTGTGGTGGCATGATTGCCCATTGAGTTCGCTTGCCAAGCTTGGGTGTTTGTGTGGTGTTCGCGTGATGAGGATGGGTAATTGTGAAGAGTGTGTGCGAGATGTGAATTTGTGTGTGTGACCGTGTCTATGTGTGGCCGTGTGGTACGTGTGGAGAGTGTGGAACGAGAGGTACGTGAATGGAGGATTGATGAGAAAAGTGATACCTTGAGGCGTGTTCGTTTACGCGGGGTAAGGTCCGTCTGAGGCGTGTTCGTTTACGCGGGACGATGCCGTCCTGACGAGGTGACGATGCCGGCCCGGCCGAGGGGTGACGATGCTGGCGTGGTCGAAGACCGTTGGCTGATGCGTTTACGGGCGCGGTAGAAGGAAAGTGTGTGTAGGATTCCGTCTGAGGCGTGTTCGTTTACGTGGGACGATGCCGTCCCCGGCGAGGTGACGATGCCCGCCGACGGGTGTCGATGCCCGACGAGGTCGAAGACCGTTGGCACGATGCGTTTTGCGCGGGCGCGGTAGTGGTGGAAAGAGTTGAGAACGAGCGCGATTTGGCTTGACATGTGACGATTGTGAAAGTGATGCATGGTGTGAGTTAGTGTGCGAGTGTGTTTGTATCGCGTGATGCGGTGCGCGATTATGGGGTAAAATCTGCTAGGCATGGTATGGGACGTGCCCAAGTAGGTTTGCTTTATAATCGAACCGCGCGTGCTGTGATGTATTCTTTGTGGTATGATTGGCGCGTGTATTGATATGTGGAAAGTGTGTGATGGCATGTGTGCAAGAATTGTATGTTGGGATTGTGGGCTAACGTGCATGGTGCATATGTAGAGAGTTCAGGTATGTGTGAATGTTTGATTCTTTGGTTGTGTGGTTGTTTGGTTGCGCGTTTGGATGTGTGCGGAATTACGTGATAGCTGGTGGGGCTTAGGTTGTGACTTATTGAGATGTGATCTCATGGTTGTTTCAACTAAACCATTTCGAGCCCCTGCTGAATGTCGAGATTGAGGTCGACTCGGAGTCGTCGGTGAGCCAGGACAGTGCGGAGGATTCGGTGGTGATGCCGAGGACAGGTGAGTCGAGTGGACGCCTTCGAGAGGGCGTAGGGGATAGTTCGGGAGGAGGATGCGCCCCATTTTGGATAGTCTTGACCTAGAGAGCTGATCTTGATATTTTGGTGGTTTGTAGTTTATAGTTCGGTGTGCTTATAAATTATTTTGTGGTTTGTATTGGCAGATGATGTAAATATTTGGAAGTGTAATATATGCTTGGTGGTTTGACGATTTGTTCCTTCCTGGTGTTCTCCAATTTTAATGTCCGGGATTTTTTGATTGCTTCCGCCGCGAGTTAATTTTGATGGATCGTTGGGTCGGCGACGTTATTCCTGGGACGTCGCACTCTGTTCGACCGGAGGCGGGATGTTGCGGGCTCGACGGGGGTTCGGGGCGTGACACGAGATGTATTGGGATTTAGGAACTGACTCATGAGAGTTCACTCGGAACTTGACACGGCGATTGCCGGGCGTCTTCGATTCCACGGTCAAGATTGGGGCGGGTCCTAAGTGCCAATGGTTAGCGAGCTCGTAAAATTCATGTCAGATCATCTAAAAAGACTATTTCTCGTGAGAGAACTTCCGAAGATTAGCCCATATCAATTTGCAACTTTTTCTATTTTCACGGGATAAGATGAAGTGCCTTTGCAATTAGAACAAGCACAGAACTTGTTCAAGACAAA